GCTTTATCAATGGTGGCAGCTTAAAGACGCCTCTCATATGGAGAATGAAGCCTCATGCAAGACCTCAACAGAGTGTCTTGATGCTTCTGTTGCTCTCGTCTATCAAATCTGAGCTTTATTCTGTATTCTCTATTGGATTCGGATCAGGTGATTGGCTTGGCCATTCTATAGCTTGATTTTCTTTCTCTGAAAGCGTCTGAGAGTCTCCTTGGCTGTGTTTTGATCATTGTCTTGCTGAAATGGTTTGATCTTCATCCTGCTGCTGATGTAGATGTTGGACTGAAGCAGCTGATCTTCATTTACACTGAGGAAGGGCAGAGGCTTGCTGAAGAACTAATGAGAGATTTCAGCTGCTGTCTGGGCTTTCGCTGCCCGAATACACCTTCCTTTCTTCATATGTTCTGCACTTTTTTTCTGTGTCATTTCATTTCATAACAAACACTTCATTTGTAAACTCATTACATTTATTTTCCTTTCATATATGGATTTCTTTGGCTGTTACCATCATCTGGTGAAAATTTCAAGTTAGCAGCACCTTGGTGACGTGCTGAATACTTATTTCCCCCATTGTAAATGAATAAGCTTCACCTTCCTGAATCAAACAAATGTTAATTTAGTGTTGTTTTAAGTTAATTTAGTCTATTTTAACATGCATACTCGGATGCTTTTGTTTGTTTTTTGCTTTATTTTGTTTGTTTTGGATATTTCGAGAACGTTTACCCTTTAAAATTATTTAAATTGTTGATTTAAGGTTTATAATGTCAAAATTAAAGATCACTATACTCTATGCGGCTTTTTATTCATGTGCAATTCATTGATTTATGGTTTTATATAGCAAAAATAATTCAAAATAAACAAAAAATCTAAATAAATAAATCATATAAATATTAAAAAATACAACCATTCATTCACTTTCTTTTCAACTTAGTCCTTTAATTAATCTAGGGTCACCACAGCGGAATGAACCACCAACTTATCCAGCAGATGTTTTACACAGCTGATGCCCTTCCAGCTGCAACCTTTCACTGGGAAACATTCATTCACACTCATACACTACGGACAATTTAGCTTACCCAATTCCCCTATAGCGCATGTGTTTGGACTGTGGGGGAAACCGGAGCACCCGGAGGAAACCCACGCCAACACGGGGAGAACATGCAAACTCCACACAGAATCAACAACTGACCCAGCCGGGACTCGAACCAGAGACCTTCTTGCTGTGAGGCGATTGTGCTTCCCACTGAGCCACCGTGATGCCAAATATACATATTCAATAAAATTACTAAAATTAATATGAAAATTGAAATAAATATATATTTGCGCAGGTTTACATAAGTAAATAAATAGACTCAATGAGGAGCTAAAACTTGAGAAAGGGGAGCTGAGAAAAGAATTACGTTTTCATTACTGTTACTCATTTTTTTGTGCCCGGGCAGAGGAAATGTTCTGTTTTGAGGGCGTCGCATTCAGTGCAACATCACTTAATGTGCTCTTAAAGGAACGGTACGCTTTTGTTGTTTTGAAACTCTCCTAAAGTTAAACAGCTGAGTTTTACCATGTGTTCATTCAGCTGATTTCTGTGTCAAAAGTAGCACTTTTAGCTTAGCTTAGCATAGATCATTGAATCGGATTAGACCATTAGCATCTTACTTAATAAAGACCAAAGAGTTTTGATACGTTTCCTATTTTAACCCTGACTGCAGTGATATTACACACCATCTTGCAATCATGTAGACATTTGAGAGAGATTATTCAGAACTATTTTAGCTGCTGTGTCATATCATATAGTGCTGCATTAGCCAGTAAAGTTTCTTGATTATTATACCAAAATGAGAGTAATTCAGAAATATCAGCCTAGAAAACAACAACTATTCATTGTTATAACTCGAAGAGGAGCTACAGAAGTGTCAAGCTTTAAATAGGAGAATTATACCATCTCGTAGGTCATTTCTGAGTGAGATGCTAATGGTCTAATCCTATTCAATGATCTATGCTAAGCTAAGCTAAACTAAAAGTGCTGGCCAGATTTTCTCTTTCATATTCAAATCAAAATATTTGCTTTGATGGCAAGACAAATGCTACAAATCTAGGAGCACTTTTAGCTTAGCTTAGCATAGATCATCGAATCGGATTAGACCATTAGCATGCTACTTAATAGTGACCAGAGTTTTAATACGTTTCCTATTTTAACCCTGAGTGCAGTGATATTACACACCATCTGTAAATCTTGCAATCATGTAGACATTTGAGAGAGATTATTCAATACCAATTTTAGCTGCTGTGTCATATCATTGTGCTGCATTAGCCACTAAAGTTACTTGATTATTATTTCAGAATGAGAGTAATTCAGAAATATCAGCCTAGAAAACAACAACTACTCATTTTCCGTCAAGAGGAGCTGCAGAAGAGTGGAGCTTTAAATGGGAGAATTATATAATCTCTTTGGTCATCACTGAGGGAGATGCTAATGGTCTAATCCGATTTAATGGTCTATGCTAAGCTAAGCTAAATTAAAAGTGCTGATCAGATTAAAGAATGATTAAATGTTGCACTGTTCCTTTAAACAGACCAATTTCAGTCCCAGCATGTTTTTTTATAGTAGTATTTATTGCGACGCCTCCTATATTTTCATCTCTGAGTAAACCGCAGGGTAATTTGCTGCAGTTTTTTAAGGTAAGAGATGCCGTCAGTGCTGTTCAGAGTCTGTAGGTGTGCAGTAACGCACCGTCTCATTTTCTCCTGGATTTCTCGCTCTCTGTGAGACTCGATTCTCTCTCTGTCTTTTCATATCTACAGTGATCTTCATTATTTTCTGCTCTTGCTCACAGTTTCAGCCCTGCATTCTTTACTGCGGCTCCACTGCTGCTGCTCACACGCTTTTAGCTGGAGAGCTGCGAACGAGAGTGTGTGTGTGTGTGTGTGTGTGTGTGTGTGGAGGAATGCGTTATCAGGCCCAGCCTTCCTGTGGTTCCTAATCCTGCGTCCCCTTCCCAGCCCCCAGCCTCTTTCTCTCAATTGAATTCACTTTCTTGGCCTGACACACACACACATGGGTACATACTGCCGAATCAAGCATGGCAGAAAAACGTCAACAATTAGTAATAATATTCCTCTGTATAATTAGCATCTGTGCTGTGTATTGCCTCTTCTTGTTGAATTGCAGGATGCCGCCTCAATTGTAAAACGTTTTGTACCTCCACTAGAACACTAGAGTGGTAAAGTGTGCAGTTCAGGTTGAGTCCCTACAGAGAGCTGAATGTGCACTTCATCTGCAGAGCGCTGACACACTGCTGTTCCTCCACAAATCAGAGGACTGCAAGCTTTTGTGTGTTTCTTGGCGTTTCGTATCTTTAGTGGTCACACCCCTGCGGTGCCGTCCTGCCCTGCCGTCCCGGACTCAACCATAGCATAGGACAGAGCTGAGAGTGTGACGGGAGGAGCAGTTTGGAGACAGTTGAAGGCGATTTCTGTGGAGGAAATCCACATATACATGAGCTGCAGCATATTGGAACAATCTGACTTTGCAATATTTAGTTTTTATGTACAGCGGGGGGAATTAGTGTTGAACACGTCAGCATTTTCCTCAGAAAACATTTTTCTTTTTTTTTATAACTATTTTTTCAGGGTTTTCACCTTTAATGCATAGGAAAGTGTAGAGTGTTGACAGGAAAGTATCGGCATAATGGACCATAGGATCAGGAATCAAACTCGGGTCACTGTGAGCGCCTGAGTGCATGTGTCGACACACTAACCACTACACCACTAGTGCCGACTGAAAACATATTTCTAAAGGTGCCGTTGGCTTGAACTTTTCACCAGATGATGGTAACAACCACAGAAATCCATATTTACAGAGAAATCAAACCTAATTAGTTTAGAAATGAAGTTGTGCGTAATAAAATGAAATGACGCAGGGAAGCAGTATTGAACACATGAAGAAAGGGAGGTGTATTCAGGCAGTGAAAGCCCAGACAGCAGCTCTCAGTAGTTCTTCAGCAAACCTCTGCTGAAACATCGCAATAATTGTAATCCCTGCTTTAGAACAAAACTATCGATTTGCAGGCATCAATGCACCCTGAGATTTACATTAGACAAGAATTATTATTTTTTTAATCTTATTTTTATTTATTTGTTCATTTAATTATTCATGGTTCTGTCATTTATAGGGGTGTAACACACTGATACACTCAGCTCACAATACAACGTGTTTCAGAATATAATGCTTACAATTGCATATGTATCACGATATGTGGAATATGACTGGAAAATAAAATGAAATGCAAATAAAAGATTTAAAAAATTTCCAAGTTAATAATTTTTAATGCATTTCCTTTGTTTAAACTTCTTTCATGTAGACTGAGCCTTCTTTATAAAAATAAATTAAATAAACCTGTCACTGCAAAATAAAACAATTATAAAACTTTTTATAAAATATTATTAAAAATGACAAAAATAAGGGACAACTTAAAGAAGTAAAGGTGCAAAAATAGAATATAGTATTGTATTCGTGTGTAACCAACAGGTGGCGACAACAGCCATTAAAATGATGTGCCTGAATAGGTTTTCAAAAATGCCCACCTATAATAAATCAAGTATTGTGTGTGAATTGTTGAATCATTAATTAAAAATAAATGTTATGGTGTACAAGATTTCTATATTAAGCAAAATCAGCTGCAGATCATTTGTCATATTTAATATTCCTTTTTTTTTTAGCTGCATCTTTCTTGATTTTAATTGTTATTAAAACACAGGTTCTAAGTTCTGTTTGTTATAACCAATTGCTTTTGCAGTAATCGTTTAGTATAAATAGAAAGCAAATTACATTTGTCTCCTCTCTTTTTTTACTGATCCGAAAAATGGTTCGATCTGTGACTCAAAAACTGTAGTGTGATCCGAACTGTGAGATTTGTGATTCGTTACACCACTACCGGTCAGGTATACATCCACGCTGAAATATCAAGGTGAAAGTCATCATAGCTTGTGTAGAACAGACCCAGCTCCCAATCCAACTTTGAGAATTTTTGTTTATCGCTCGATAAGAGTCTCGCGTTAACGCTGATAACAGTCCACCACTAATTATTTGGTTAGTAAGCAGCAATGAACAACACTTAAAATATATCAGGAGTTTGATGTGATCTACTAAACTAGTGGTGTTTTAATTTAATGTCTCCATAATAATGATGATTATTCCTCAGGCTATAATCTCTGAAATCTATAATGGCTGCATCCCTAGTGTGAGGACGGTCTGTGTGTTTGGTAAAAGCTGGAGTGAGGGAGGGAAGCGTAGCTGGAGCCGGAGCCGGAGCGGGTCACTGTAGGCCAGGGGTGGATCTGGAGGAAAACAGAGGAGGGGGTTTAGTTTAGCTGGAGAACAGTGTGTTCTGTTCATTCCGGAGCAGGAACTGTGTGTGCTGTTCTCCGTCACACACACAAGAAAAAAAGGTGCTGAACTGCCTTATATTTTACAGCACAAATGAAGATGTCGTGCCTCAGAACAGAGCGTGTCGTCTCCACAAAGCTCAGTCTGTCCACGTGTGCGGCGTCAGGGAGTTCACTCTGCTGGATCTCTAGCAGACTCCAGAAATCTGACAACTCGCTCCAGCTATCTGATTTGGGCTCTGTTGTTTCTCTGCTGAGGGGACACACTGCTTTGTTTTGATGACTCATCCTGCACTCAGGGGTGTGTAGACGTTTTTATCCAATCACAGGCTTCGTTGATTGAGAACGCAACATTGTTTCAGTCGTGCAGCCAATCAGATTCAGCTGTAGGATCCGATACACTGTTGCAATAGGAAGCAATAGGTGTGTGTGTGTGTGTGTGTTTGTGTGTGTGTAGGTTTGTGTGTATATGTGTGAGAGAAACTGTGAGGGCATTTTGTGTATGTGCGTATGGGATTGTGTGTATGTTAATGTGTTTGGTAGTGTGTGTTTGTGTATTTGTGTGTGTGTAAGTACATTTGTAAGTGTGTGTGTGTGTGTGTGTAAGAGTACATTTGCAAAGGTTTGTGTGAGTGTGTGTTTTTGTGTGATTGAGTGCGTTTGTGAGTGTGTGTTTGCATTTACATTTGTAAGGTTGTGTGTGTGCATGTGTGTGCGTGCATTTGTGTGTCTGTGTGTGTTTGTTAGTGTGTACTTGTGAGTACATTTGTAAATGTGTGTGTGTGTGTGTGTGTGTGTGTGTGTGTGTGTGTGTGTGTGTGTGTGTGTGTGTGTGTGTGTGTGTGTGTGTGTGTGTGCATTTCTGTGTCTACGTGTTTTTGTTATTGTGTCTTTTAGTGTTTGAGTGTGTATGAGTACCTTTGAAAAGGTTTGTGTGAGTGTGTGTTTTTGTGTGATTGAGTGTGTTTGTGAGTGTGTGTGTGTGTGTGTGTGTTTGTGTACGTGCATTTGTGTGTTTTTGCATATGTTTGTTAGTGTGTACTTGTGAGTACATTTGTAAGGTTGTGTGTGTGCATGTGTGTGCGTCCAATTGTGTGTCCATGTGTGTTTGTTTGTTAGTGTGTACTTGTGAGTACATTTGTAAATGTGTGTGTGTGTGTGTGTGTGTGTGCATTTGTGTGTCTGCGTGTGTTTGTTAGTGTGTACTTGTGAGTACATTTGTAAATGTGTGTGTGTGTGTGTGTGTGTGTGTGTGTGTGTGTGTGTGTGTGTGTGTGCATTTCTGTGTCTACGTGTTTTTGTTATTGTGTCTTTTAGTGTTTGAGTGTGTATGAGTACCTTTGAAAAGGTTTGTGTGAGTGTGTTTTTGTGTGATTGAGTGTGTTTGTGAATGTGTGTGTGTGTGTGTGTGTGTGTTTGTGTACGTGCATTTGTGTGTTTTTGCATATGTTTGTTAGTGTGTACTTGTGAGTACATTTGTAAGGTTGTGTGTGTGCATGTGTGTGCGTCCAATTGTGTGTCCATGTGTGTTTGTTTGTTAGTGTGTACTTGTGAGTACATTTGTAAATGTGTGTGTGTGTGTGTGTGCATTTGTGTGTCTGCGTGTTTTTGTTATTGTGTCTTTTAGTGTACTTGTGAGTGTGTATGAGTACATTTGTAATTGTGTGTGTGTGTGTGTGTGTGTGTGTGTGTGTGTGATTGAGTGTGTGTAGAAGTGTGTTCAGCTTGTATTAATATATGAATCTGTACGGTGTGTGTATTGTCATCAGCTGCAGTACCTGTGTGATGCATCTCTCATAATAAACAGCACACACACCATCAATAGGCATGTCCAGTGTAGTGTTGGTGTTGTGGAATGAAAGCATTAATAATGGCTCTTCTGTACACGGTACCTGGTGTAACTGCTGGTGTAAATGAGCAGGCGAGTGTGTAGATATTCCTCAGCCTGCTTCAGTCAAGTGCTCATCAAAACAGCAGAACGAGGATGAGATTGAGACGCAGCCGCCGCCTCACTGTCCTCCATCCTCTCATTATCACTGTAGGTGTGTGTGTGTGTGTGTGTGTGTGTGTGTGTGTGTGTGTGTGTGTGTGTGTGTTTGTGTGTGTGTGTGTTTGTGTGTGTGTGTGTGTTTGTGTGTGTGTGTGTGTTTGTGTGTGTGTGTGTGTGTGTGTGTGTTTGTGTGTTTGTGTTTGTGTGTGTGTGTGTGTGTGTGTGTGTGTGTGTGTGTGTGTGTGTGTGTGTGTGTTTGTGTGTTTGTGTTTGTGTGTGTGTGTGTGTGTGTGTGTGTGTGTATGTGTGTGTGTGTCAGCTCATCCACCTTTCTGCTCCAGCTGCGGGGCGTCTGACCTACATCTGGCAGAAGAGGAGAGCAGTGCAGCAGACACGGATGCTGACGGCTGAATCTGCATTAATCAATTAGGATTTATTTGATGTGTTGTGCTCAAATTAAATTTATATGTGTATAAAATACAATTTCTTTTCTCCACATTTTTACTCCTGTGTAATGTTTGATGAGGTGTTTCTCATGCAGTCATTGATGAAGCTGTTAGTCGAGCTGATGTGAGCTTAAATATGTAGATTATTGATTAATGCATTTGTTTTTTTTATTATTTATTTTGTTTATCATTATGTCTATCATAGCAAAAAAATATTAAACATATGCACAATTGCGGATATTTACATATAAATATATGTATATAAATATATTACATTTAAATATATATATATATATATATATATATATAAAAAAAAAAATATATATATATATATATATATATATATATATAAAATACAAGTTTTCCAATATTAAAGATTTTTTATTATTTATTTATTTTGAGAAAATGTGTTAAATTTAAGTTTATTTGTATAGAGCTTTTCACAATTATTGCTTCAAAGCTGCTTTACAAAATGTGCACATTACAGCATTATAATCAATATCAAAGACGTTAAGATTATTAATTACCATAGCTTTATTAGTTACTAAGAACTTTACTCAATTAACTAGTAACTAAAAGAATTTAACTGTTGAAGTTATTAAATCTAAACATAGTTATCCTGCACTTATAGGTGATGTCTGTGTGTACATGCTTAATGAAGTGTATTTAGTGTGTGTGTGTGTTGTCCTGGAAGTCCTCGATGGTATGGCATCATCCTTGCACAGGTCTTGGATCGCATCAATGGCGCTGCAGAATCTCTGGGGGTCTCGGGCTGAGTTTCCGCAGGGGGAAATAGAGAACAAAGAAAATAATTAGCGTAGCTGCTGTTCATCGTGTATTGTCCGTGATGTATAATGTGCTGTAAATGTAAAGAGCTGCCATAGAAACAAACATGTAAAGCATAGGAGTATTTCTAACAGAATGTCTGCTGTATTAAGACAGGAGGAGTGTCCTACAGGTGGTCTGTAAAGCCTGCTCACCTGCATGATGGAGCACACTCATGCATCATACCGCTATTGAGTGTATGCTTTACTATAAAGATCAGTCTTTACTCTAGTGTTGAGCTGAGAGAGTGTGTCCCAGCCGAGGACATCATCAGGAAGGATATTCCAGAGTTTTGGAGCCATAAATGAGAAGGCTCGACCTCCTTTAGTGGACTTTGCTGTTCTGTGTACTGCTGGAAGCCCTGAGTTTTGAGATCTTGAAGAGCGGGTTGGATTGTAGCGAGACAGAAGGTGGTTAAATAAACCAGAGCTCGATTATTTACAGCTGAAAAGGTCAATATAAGGCAATATTTAATCATCAATACGGAACTTAGCAGCCAGTGTAAGAAGGATAAAATTGACGTGAATAGCCATGTTTATTTCTTTTTTATATTTTTAATTTATATTTTTCTTTTGTTTATATTACATTTATATTATAAACATACATATTTTTACAAATATGAATGTGTCTGTGTGTGTATATAAACTGTATTGACATGGCGTGTCCTGTATTATTGATGGTGGTGTGGGGAGACTGACAGACACTGTTATTGGAAACTCAATGTTGATTATTTTATTTCTTATTTATTTTATGTTTTATGATCCAATATTTAGATTTACCTAATCATTTTATAATTTATATGGTAATAATTGAAACGTGTGTGTGTGTGTGTGTGTGTGTGTGTGTGTGTGTGTGTGTAGTTTTTAAAAGTGTTATCTCTATTTTATACCTCTGTAATGTTTGGGTAGTGTGTGTGGAGGCATCTCCCACGACTGACTGACACACACTGATGTTGGCAGGGAATTAGCTTGTGTGCTAATCAAGCTTCACCCCTGTGAGCACAGACAGACGCAGCGGCAGCGGGAGGGGGGAGAGTTGTCTTATTAACATTGTTCTTGATGTTAATAACATTTTAAATAACAAAACAGTTAAAGTGCACTAAATAGTATTATATTATTATTGCAAACATTATTAATATTTTGCCTTGTAGCACTTTAAATCTAAGAAAAGTGCATTAAAAATAAAATGTATTATTATTTTTGTTATTATTATGATATATTCACAAACACAATTCACCTGCTAATTATTTATTGTTTTTTATATATGTTTACCTGCTTTTTTTGTATATTTACTTTGCAAAAATTTACGTCTAATAAATATATATGTTGAAGTCAGAATTATTAACCCTCGTTTATTTTTT